TCGATATATGATCTTGCATGTGAACTGGCCTTCTGGCCTTTGAACTTGTACTCGGAATGCGTGGTGACTTTGTGATCCACCCTGAGCTTTGCTTTGCTTTGCTTGACTGGTCTTGTGACCCCTTGTTCTCCCCCACTTTGCCTATGGGGGTGTGTCAGAACATATAGCTTACTTGTTTCTGTAGGCTATAGTGGGGTATCCCATAGGGGGTACAACCCAAATTAGGGTTTCCTATTTGTACTCACTTTGTTCATAGTCATTTCATTCTCGTTCATATCTTCTCACCTAGAGCAGCAGCCTCGCTAGCACCTAGAGCAGCAGCCTCACCAGTACCTAGAGAAGTAGTCTCAATGCCCGGGTCGGGCGGAAAACACCGGTAACAGTCACCCTCCTCACTAATAGTCACAACATACATGGCAGCAAGAATAGCAACAAAGTCAATATTGTAGCCTACAGTAGCTATGTCATATAAATCTGACATTCTGCACCAGCGAGATATCCCGCAGCTCGAAGGCGGCCTCCAGCAGCTCCTGCAGCTCCTTCTGGATCTCGGTGCTGCTGCTGGCGGCGAGCACTGTTAGAGACTAAGGACGGAGTCTATGAAGATTAAGTGCCCAAATTTCTCAAAATCGTTGGTCTCAATTTCTGGACAGAAACGTCGACTTCACAAGAAACGTTGTCGACGAAAGGTGCACTGTTAGAATCCCACGAAATTCGAATATGTTGTAGCCCTAGACCGTGGCTACATTTCCCAATTTGAATCGTATCAAAATATGAAGCATATCTCGAGTTATGCTTTTCGGCGCACTAGGGGGTATGGTGCCACAGAAATTTAACTCAATCACAATTAACTCACAAGTCCCACAAAAGAACATTTGAGAAGCACTAAACCTGGTATGAGGGGAAGAGGAGGACGAGAGGGAAGGTCCCAAGAGAGAGTCCCCAACCAAGGAAACCCCATGCCACACAATTCCCTTCCCCATAGGCAACAAACTTTGACCTTTGTCACTTTCCAACCCATGCCATCCACCTCACCACAACTTGGCCACACTTACCAACCTGGTTTGGCTTCACCCAACCTCTTGGCAGCATCTACAGTGATGGGTTCGAATTTCCCAACCCCCACAAGTCTGTACCCCATATTGAGTCAATGCCACAACTTCCCAAAGTAGCTGCAACCAAAATATATAAGCATACGAACTCCAATGTTCGTAACTTTCTTGGTTGTGCTCCGATCGCGACGATTCTTGGTTCGTCGGAAAGCTCTTGAGTAGAGGAATCAATACAGATATCTGCTCAAGCCAAATAACATACACACACACACACACACACACACACACACACACACACACAGAAAATCCAAACCACACAAGACACAAATTTCTTGCACACGCTCACACCACGCATGCAACGCACAAACACATGATGGGAGGCAGACAGACGTGAATGCATATGGTTGCATCACACAACAAGCACGTCGTCAACGTAGACCAGCACCCAACAGGCTTTGTTGTCCGCACTGACTTTGAAGTAGAGGGCAGTGTCGACCTGGCTCTTCTTCCAGCCAGCACCCAGCAGCACACCCTCGAGAGCCCGGTACCACAATAGCGGCGACTGCTTCAGCCCGTAGAGGCTCTTCAGCAGCTTACACACCCGGCTGGTCCCATCGTTGAAGTGGTCTGGCTGCTACATGTACAGCATCCAGTCGAGCTTGCTCTGCAAGAAGGCATTCTTCATGTCAAGCTGCATCAGGTTCAGGTCATGGACGGCGACGATGCTGAGGAAAATCCTCAGCGTGACGTAGCTACTCACCGGCGCGTACGTCTCATCGTAGTTGTTAACGTACACATGCGTGAAGCCCTTCACGACCAGCCTCGCCTTCTCACGCTCGACGGTGTCGTCGATGCAGTACTTCGTCCCGCCCTGGGCAAGGATGGCGCTGTAGTGGTGCTGCGCTTCGACATCCCCTACGTGTGCACACCCATCACCTCATGTCATGTCATGTCATGTCACCTCGTGTTGTGTCATCTCATCTCGTCATGTCACCCATCTAGCTATTCTGCGTTGCTGCTGTTCTGTTTGTGAGGCAACTCAAAAGGCGTGGGCAAGGATGGCGTGGCAGTGCTGCTGCACTTTGACATCCCCTCGGTGTGCACATGCACCCATCATCTCATGTCATGCCACCTCATGTAAACTCACCTCATCTCGTCTAATCGAGACGAGTTTTGAGGCTCCTGAAGACTCGTGCACTTTGAAATCCACGGCCCCCCATTTCCTTTTCCTAAACAACTTGTGTGCATTGCTGCTGCTCTGATTTGGGGTGCCTCAACAGCCCTGGGTAAGGATGGCGCTTTTAATGCTGCAGCACTTTGATATTCCCCCCATACGCACACCTCTTAAAAAGGGACAAATTACGAGGCACCTTAGAATTGTTTCACTCTGACATCCCCTCTGGCTGTGCACATCCCGTCAGGCGGCCAAAGTAGCATTGGGTGGGGTGCGCACCCCCGCACTGCTCACCCACGCGGTCGCGAGTGCGTAGGACGAAGGTGCACGGACCTGTACCCCCACCCCGCTGGCGCGCAGCGTACCACTCACGGAGCTGCTGAGGGGGGGGGATGTCACGAGTGCGCTGCTGGTGCTGCTGGCGCTGACCACCATCGGAGCCGACCCTCTGCGCAGCGCCACCCCGACCAGCTCCACCTCCTCCACCGCCGCCTCCTCCACCGCCGCCACCTCCTCCACCTCCGCTCCCACCGCCACCGCCGCCGCCGCCTCCGCCTCCACTGCCGCCACCAACACCTCCACCCCCGCCACCACCCCCACCGCCACCCCCACCCCCACCCCCTCCGCCGCCTCCACCGCCGCCTCCACCGCCCCCGCTAGCTCCTCCAGCGTCCCTGTCCCCCTTGCCCTTGCCAGGGCGGTGTCTCCCGCTAGGGGTAGACGCCGCACCGACCAACTCAAGACCAACGAGGCCGGCCGCAGCAGTAGAGGCAACAGAGGGCAAAAGGGGGGAGGGGGAGCACCCCTCAAAGATGGGGGTGCGAGGGTCACCACGAGAGGCTCCTACAGCGACTATGCTCTTCTCTGCTGCTAGGAGGGCCTTCTCGAGGAGGTCAACGGTGAGAGTGGTGGGGCAAACTGAGAGAAAGTGGTCCCTGACTACGCGAAGGGAGTGAGGGAGCCGGGTGACTATGTAGTAGAGGGTGATGTACATGGGGGGGGGGTTCTTGGCGCAGAACTCAGCAGGAAGCGCAGCGCGGTAGCGAGTGTCACTAGTGCGGAGGTGCGTAATGAGGTCAGCGACTGTGGGAAAGGCAGCAAGGTCAGGGAAGAGGTACAGTAGCATGAGGCGGCTCAGTGCAGCAGTGGCAGGGGAGGAGTAGCGTGCAACTACAGCGTCGTACAGGGTCTGAGCACTCTTGTCCTGGCTAAAGTGTGCACGCTCAGAGGTAGGCACGTGGCGACGCACAGCAAGACGTGCAGCAGCATCGCGTGTGGCCCACTGTGAGCGAACAGTGGCGTCGGCATCAGCAGTAGGGGCAGGAGAGGCACCAGAGGTGAGGTCAAAGAGGGAGAGACCGTCTGCCCTATCGCACTGTAGGAAAAGCTGCAGGTCATCTACCCAGACGTCAAAGTCAATGGCCCGACCCTCAACGTCAAAAGCGAGGACACTAGGGGTAGCCATGACAGCAGTAGACCAGCAGCGTGAATAGTAGGGTAAGGGCAGTGCAGTGACAGAGGCGCTGCTCTTACCGGACAGGGCGGCTCGGGCGGCTCGGCGGCTCGGCGGCTCGGCAACTCGGCGGCTCGGGCGGCTCGGGTGGCTCGGCGGTACGGCGGGTCGGCAGCAACTGCGGCTCGGCGACTCGGCGGCTCGGGCGGCTCGGGCGGCTCGGTGGTACGGCGGCTCGGTAGCTCGGCGGCTCGGGCGGCTCGGGCGGCTCGGCGGTACGGCGGCTCGGCAGCAGCTGCAGATCGGCGGCTCGGGCGGTTCAGGTTGCGCGGCGGCTCAGGTGGATCGGGCGGCTCGGCAGCAGCTCGGCAGCGCCGGCGGCTCGGTGGTGACGGCGGCTCCGCGTGGGGACGGCGGCGGGGCCGGGTGGAGCGGCGGCGGGGCCGGGTGGAGCGGCGTCGGGGCCGGGTGGGGCAGCTCCGGGGCCGCAGGGGTAGGCGACGGGGCCAGCAGAGGTGGTGCCGAGGCTGGGAAGGGCGGCGCCGGGGCCGCATGGGTAGGCGACGGGGCCGCTAGGGCGGCTAGGAAGGGCCGCGAGGGCGGCGTGAAAGGGCCGCGAGGGCGGCGTGAAAGGGCCGCAAGGGCGGCGCGACGCGACGGAGCCGCGAGGGCGGCGGATCGGGGCCGCGAGGGCGGCGCGACGCGGCCGCTAGGGCGGCGCGACGTGGCGCGGCCACTAGGGCAGCGCGACGAGGCCGTGAGATGCCGCTAAGGGGCCGTGAGGGCGGCGCGACGGGTCCGCTAGGGGCCGTGAGAGGGGAGACCCATGGAGCGCGACTCGGGCAGGAACTGAGTGCGCTTCGGGCAGGAAAAAAAAATAATCGAATCGGTGGGCCCTAGGAACAGTTCCCACGAGGGAACCTGCTCGATACCATGAGAAAACTAGAACAAGAATGAAATGACTAAGGGAAAGTTACAAGTGCAAACCCTAGAAAGCTGTACCCCACATGCGTCCGACGTGGGAGCGGCCTGCTCTGTTTTGTGTGTGTGCGCAAGCCGTGTGCGCACAAAATATATTTCTCACATTTTGATAGTTTCCCAAGCCGTGCGCTTTAAATTTGTTCGAGGCGTCTCACAACTCACACATAATGACCACGCATGCTTTGCCTTCACAAAAGCCCCACTTGTCAACATCAACTCAGCCTTGTTGTCGTTAATGAACGAATTCCGAATTCTTTTCCGGACCACCTCCTTAGTCACCAGCTAATATGCATCGCTCTTCCCCCCGTCTCCATCCCGCTATTCCCTCTGCGGCCCTGCAATGCCTCCACCCCACAGGTGGGCGTTCCCTTCCCTCCCCTCCGCCTGCTCGTCCCCGGCTCCTACCCGCACTGCTCGCCCCAGCCATGGCCCTTCCAAGCCCACCCACACGCCAGGTGCTCTAACATCCTTGCCTGCTGCTCTGCTCCTGTCAACTGCTCTGCTCTCCTCTGCCAGTGCCATGCTCATGTCTCTTGTTCTTTGCTACACCAACCCATGTTCTCCCTCCGCCTCCATACAGTGCCTAGTGGTTCCCAGTGGTTTCAAGTAGTCCCCAGTGTTTCCCAGGTGTCTCCATTCAGTTTGAACATTGATCAACACACTTCATGCCCACCCCTTGTCTTAACACCATCCGAACCTCGCCCATCCTCCATCACTCTAATCCCACTTCCAACCTTCTCCCCGCCTCGCCCCTTCCCCCTTCCCTATCACTCGCCAAGAGGATTAGTAAGGTCAGGATGCTGTTTCCCTTGGAGCTGTGTGTTGGACCATTCCGTGGGGGGGAAGTCATCTGTTCCTTGCTGTGCCCCCTAAAGCGGACAACCACGGCCACAGTATTGAACAAGCACATAACCTCATTCTTTTTACTCACGTTTTTCTCATTCTTCCCATTATTCCCATTCCTCCCATCCTTCCCATCTTCCTGCCCACCACAGATCACCCGTGGTTCAAGGCGTCTCTGCTCTACCCGAGCCATGCGAGCTGCCAAGGGCTCTCTCAAGTTCACACCCATAGCACAGACGTGAGATGAGCGCTTATACATTCCCCACTCCCGTTGTTCCCATCCCTCCTCCTGCCCACCACAGATCCGCCGTGGTTCAAGACGCCATGGGCCGGTTTACCAGGGCCGTGCGCGCTGCCAAGGGCCCTCTCACGCTCACAGCCATGGTGAGGGCGTGGAACAAGCATGCACGGGCGGCAGTCATGCATGTGCTTGCGGCATCTGCTCCCCCGAATGTGTGCTGGCATGCTGTGGTTGGCCCGTGGCACGAGTGTGCTGCTGACGTGGCACATGGCTAGACGATTCACATGTGCCTGATTTGTATATTTTTTCTGTTGGGTGTTCATTCTACGATATATGATGTTGCTGAGGAAGAATATTGCTTGAAGGAATTAGATGTGTATTTTACTTCCCATGTTGATTCGTTGCAAAAAGCTTTGAGATTTGTTGTGGGAGAATGGTACCGTTTGTAGAGCGAAAAAAAACTCACAACGTGTGTGACATCAATAGATGCATGGCAGTACAAGAAGCATGAGATGTTCTTTCATTTTGCGCCAGCAGAAGAGAGTCTGGGCACTGTTACCTCTCGGAACCTTTTCAAAGGTTCATACGCGCTCGAACTGTAAAACACGGGCGATTGCGGGATCGCTTCCGGGATCTGCCCGCGGGCACGAAAAAAAAACTAAAACCCACTCGGAAGGCATGCGGTTCGGGAGGCATCAACCCAAAAAATTCAGGGTTGAGGCTCCCGAATGGCATGCAGGTCGCGATGGGAAATAGTTTTTTTGCCCCGGGCAGCTCGCTTCCGCCAGCTCGTGCGTCCTGATGGGTTCGATGTTAGAATGGACTAAGCTACTAACGGAAGCTTTAGTAGTCTTAGAACCTCCTCCTAAAGCCTATGAATCTTAGGAGCCCACTTGGGCATGAACCATGCTAGAACTAAAGTGGTTTCCAAGAAGTAAAGTTCCAACAAGAGAGAACCCTAACCTATAGGGTTTGGGAGGTAGTCCACTCTATAGAGTGTACACCACAAGCTCTCCCAACCCAACCAATGTATTCTACACTACAATAGTGTAGATGTATCACTACATATGTTTATTGGAGCAACCCGAATCAACCTTAATTCCAACACCCCCCTTTGCTCCAACAAGCATTACAGTTCACCCATAAATCAAAACACAACCCCTCCAGCGAATGAAGTCTTGGCCTTCACAGCCATCACTCGCATGCCGATGCGCTCCAAGTTCTCATGCAGTTGCAAGCTTGGAAGAGCTTCGGTGAGCATGTCGGCATCCTGGAGGTGGGAGCGTACTGAGTGCACCTCGACCTCCTGCTGGCGCACCGCATCCCGTACAAAGTGCCATGCCACCTTAATGTGCTTGGTGCGCTGATGGAGAACGGGATTGTGGGCAAGGGAGACATCAGCCTCATTATCACAGAATAATGGAATAGCCCCCCCATCCCCCACATGCATCTCTGCCAGCAAACTCCTCAACCAAATGGCCTCCTTGGCCCCCTCCGATAGAGCTTTGTACTCAGCTTCAAAAACGCTTGCTGCAACACTGTCTTGCTTTTTGTTATACCAGCTGATTGATCCTCCTCCCAGCTTAAAGATGTAGGCAGAGCGACTTTTGCCATCAGTCTCACCACCCCAATCCGAGTCTGTGTACCCAACAACCTGCTCACCACCTTGGCGCTCATACCTGATGACACGATCAGCTGTGTCGACCACGTACCTGAGTGCTCTCAGTGCAGCGCGCATGTGAATGCGTCTTGGTGCCATGCAGGACTGTGCAAGGGTGTTGACAGTGAAAGACATGTCAGGACGGGTGGTCATCGCAGCATACATCAAGCTGCCAATGAGACTCTGGTACACCTTGACATCAGCTGCACCTTCCTCAGTCGACCAAGTACCATTCCTGATCTTAGAGAGATCATTGGGTGACATTAGAGTTGAGAAAAACTAGAACGAGAATGAATGCACTATGAAAGAGTTGGGTACAAGTACTAACCCTAATTGGGTTCTACCCCATATGGGCTACCCCACTACAGCCTACACAAAAGCATAAGCTATAATGTTTTGACAGACCCCCATAGGCAAAGTGGGGTAGTACAAGGGGTCACAAGACCAGTCAAGCAAAGCAAAGCAAAGCAAGCTCAGGGTGGATCACAAAGTCACCACACAATCCGAGCACAAGGTCAAGGCCACAGGCCAGTTCACATGCAGGAGTACATATATATATAAAAGGCTAGACAAGCAAGAGCAGGTGTATATATATATGTAACAGTACAAGCAAGGTCAAGAGGTGAGCAAGTGAGGCAAGGCAGGCACAAGACCCAGCTGAGTACAGAAGCGCTGATGATCACAAGGCGCAAGCGCCTTGGTGAAGATATCAGCAGTGTTTGCCTCAGAGGCCACGTACGCAAGACGCAGCTGACCACGCTACTGCAGCTCACGAGCAAGGAAGTAGCGGAGAGCAATGTGCTTCGTTCTGTGCTCCAGTCTCTGCTCTCGACACAAGGCCAGCATGGCCTTGTTGTCTACGTACAGCACTGGAGGAGAACGAGGCGGCTCTCCGAGGTCAGTCAGCAGGTAGGTGAGCCAGCGAAGCTCCTGTGCAGCCATGGCCCCGGCGTAGATCTCAGCCTCACAACTGGAGCCGAGAACAGAAGACGAGCGGGTAGCCCGCCACGAAACAGAGCCGGAACCAAGGCTGAAGGTGTAACCCTGTGACGACCGCTGCGTAGCCTGGTCGTCAGCCCAAGAAGCGTCTGCGTGCCCACTGAGGACCACTGGACTCTGCCCTCCAAGCACAAGCCCCATGCCCGACGTACTGCACAAGTAGCGCAACACCCTCTTCGCTGCAGCCATATGCTCTGGTCGGTGTCTCCCGGGAGCAACATAGCGTGCGAGAATGCTAAGAGGGTATGCAAGGTCAGGTCGTGTGCAGGTCATCAGGTACATGAGGCAGCCAACAAGCTCTGGATACGGGCCACTCGACTCTACGGACTCATCCGAAGGCAGAGCTGAGAGCGAGTGGCGAGTAGGCAGAGGAGTGGCCTGAGGCGAGGAGTACGTGAAGCCGAAGCGCTGAAGGACCTGCTGCACCATGTGTGACTGAGTCAGGGTAATGGTGCGGCGTGCTCTGTCCCGGGTGATCTGCAAGCCAAGGTAGCTGCGCAGTTCACCCAGGTCTGTGCACGTGTGTCTCTTCTGCAGCTCGGACTTCACGTGGGCGAGTCCAGCAGTGTCAGCTGTGGCAAAGACCAAGTCGTCGACGTACACGAGGATGTAGAACGGCGGCAAAGAAGTGTCGGTGCGCAGAAATAGCGACGGGTCGGTAGTAGAGGGAGCAAACCCAAGAGCCGCAAGTGTAGTCCTCAGTGTGTCGTGCCACTCACCCGATGCCTGGCGGAGACCGTAGACTGGCCGCCGGAGGCTCCACTAGGTGCCAGGAGGAAAAGACCCAGTGAAGCCAGGTGGGCGACGCAGCCAGATCTCGTCGTGCAGGCTGCCCTGCAAGAAAGCAGTGTTGAAGTCAAGAGAGTGCAGCTCGTAGTCACGCTGAGCAGCTATGTGCAGCAGTACCCGAAGAGTGGTCATCTTCGGGGTGGGAGAGAAGGTCTGAAAGTAGTCAACTCCCTGCCGCTGACTGAAGCCACGAGCCACGTAACGCGCCTTGAAGACAGGCGGAGAACCCGGCGGCCGCTTCACCCTGAAAATCCACATGCCACTGACGATGTTCGCCCCAGGCTGGGGAACCTCGTCAACGTAGGTGCCTGTGGACTTCCAGGAAGCCATCTCTGTGTCCATAGCTGCCTGCCACTGAGAGGAGTAGGGACCCTCTATCGCCTCCGCGTAAGAGCGCGGAGTCGGGATGTCAAGTGCATCCGGGTCTCCCTTAGGGGTAAGCAGTACGGACACGAGATGAGGTGAAGCAGCAGCCAAACACTGGAACTCCTCCTGCCTGTCCTCAAGGACGTCCGTGCCAAGGGCACACTCACCCCCGACGGACGGAGGACAGACAGACTCAGACTCAGCGACAAGACTAGCAGCGTAGTCTAGACGACAGCGAGCAGCAAAGTCGTCGAGCTCAGCAACTAGGGCAGACGCAGTAGTGGACTCAAAGGAAGGGTCAGTGACGACAGTAGCAAGGAGACGCGTGACAGTAGGACTGGCAGCACGAAGAGAGTCCGTCTCCGGGTCGGGAAGAGCAGGAAGAGAGGACTCAGGAGGAGAAGGCAAAGGGGCACGCAGAGGAGCAGTGGACGGACGCAGAGACATCCGGTGCGTGCCAGGGACAGGAGGAGGACGCTGACGCGAACCACGACCACTAGTGCGAGCAGGACGGACAGGCGATGCAGGGCGAGACGCAGGCTCACGACGCTCAGCAAGACCTCCAGTAGGACCAGTGTAAGGAGAAGGAGCAGGCAGTGGGGAGGCCGGCTGTAACTGTACTGTGACGCGACAGGCTGTGGACACTCTAAGGGAGGAGGAGGACCAGTAGAAGGCGGAAGACCAAGAACCTGCTGAAGGAGCGGAACGAAGTACGGCCAAGGCCGCGCGGCCACTCCAGACACAGCACAGATAGCACCAGTACCCCCAGTGGTAGCACCAGTGCCAGCAGCACCTCCAGCTCCAGCACCCCTAGCGGCAGCTCCAGTAGCTCCAGGACCTCCAGTAGCACAAGTAGCACCCCCTGCAGGACCGCCTCCAGCACCGACAGCTGTAGCCTCAGCGCCAACACCCTCAGCAGCTCCAGCTCCAGTCGTACCCGCAGGCCCAGCAGCTCCAGTACTCCCAGTACGAGCACCTCTGGGACCCGCGACACCAGCACCCTCAGTAGCCAAAGAACCTCCAGCTCCAGCAGCACGCCTCCAGCGCCGGGCAAACCACTCGCGCAGCTCCTGCGGAGAGAGTGGCTCCCGCCGAGACGAAGCACCCGGAGAACCTCCAGGCACAGTACCGCAAGACGAGACACGAGCAGGCCCAGCTCCCTCAGGCTCCGCACCCCCAGGCTCAGCACCTCCAGGCGTAGCACCCCCAGGCTCAGCACCCCCACTCGTAGCACCCCCAGGCTCAACACCCCCATGCTTAGCACCCCCAGGCTCAGCGCCCCCAGGCTCAGCACCCCCAGTAGTAGCACCCTCAGGCTCAGCACCCCCAGGCGTAGCACCCACACGCTCAGATCCCCCAGAGTCATCACCCCCATGCTCATCACCCTTAGTAGCACCAGAGTCACCAGCAACCTCGACCGGCTTGACTGCATCTACCTAGGACACACCTGAAGGGGCAGGA